GTGTAAAGCACCGGACTGGAAAAGGCAAAGATCTGGAGTCAAACAGGCCCATCCACCCACTGCATGAACTTGGACACACTGTTCAGCCTCTAGGTCTCGGCATCCGTATCTGCTAAATGGGAACAAATCATTCACTTCACAGGGTTGCTGAGAAGATAAAATGAGACGCATACTGTAAAGCATCAAGCAGGATTGAGGTGTGATATTTGTGAAAGGGACCATCTTTCTCTTTTCCTACCTCTTCTAGGAACCATAAGTCATTGACTGCTACTGGGATCTTTAAGAATCCACTGAAATCTCATATGGGCAATTCCCAGGGGTTGGTAGTGAGATCCTACTCCTCTTTTTTTTTTTTTTTTTTTTTGGAGGGGAGCCAAAGTCATATTGAAAAGCCAGTTCCATAATCTTCATTGCTACAATGCCTTTTCTCATCCAGTATGAAATTTTCATTCTAATTTCACGCTGCTTCCCTTTTTTTTTTTTTTTTTTTTTTTGGAGGGGAGCCAAAGTCATATTGAAAAGCCAGTTCCATAATCTTCATTGCTACAATGCCTTTTCTCATCCAGTATGAAATTTTCATTCTAATTTCACGCTGCCTGTGACTAGCTTTAAAAGGAAGCAAAAGCTATTCCGATGGTCCCTCTGACGAAGATTATTGTAGGCCCTGTTTTCACAGAATCAGTCTCTTTTCACAGAATACCAGCTGAAAAGGCCGAAGAAGTCAAAGAGTATCACTCCTGTTTAAAGATGAGCAAATGAGAGCCAGAGAGGCAGATCTGTTTGTGCAAGGTCAAATAGTGGAAGAGCTTCAGAGCTAGGAAGAGACCCCAGTCACAAGATCCCGGCTTCTGTGCTCTCGGCTCTCTGACTTGGAGGCCCATTAGGCTCTGAGCTGCTGGAGGACATCCCTCCATTTATCCATCCACACACCCACACACCCACTCGTCCATCCACTCTTCCACTCACCCACCCACTCGTCCATCCACTCATCCACCCACCCACCCACTCATCCATCCATGTTGGTATTGGACACCTTCCTGTGATAGGCACTGAGCTGAGTGCTGAGAGCCAGGGGTGACAAAGATGGTCACAGTCCCCAACTTCATGGAGCTTTCTATGCACTGAGCTACGACTGAGTCTTGGTCATCTGTTTCCCAAGGGACTACCACAGTGCCTGGCGCATGGTAGGTGAACAGTAAATGTTTTTTGAATAATGGATATCTCTCATCTTCAGTAATGCTCCCACCTTTATAACTGACATGCTGAATCATTGTGAAGACCTTGAGGGGGCTAAAATCTCAGTGTCTGTATTTGTCTTGAACCACCTTCTCCAGTTGTCATTCTTACCAGAAGAATTTAAACAACCGTGTGCAGACATAGCCACATTAGGCAAGGAGTAAAAGACCTGAGTTTATGTCTCAGCCCTGAGCTGCTTACTTCTAAGTAGCTCCTGAAAGACATTCGAGGCTGTTTTCTCATCTATCAAATGGAGCAAATAATATTTGACTTGCCTATTTCACTTGGCTGCTGTGAATATAAAAGGAGAGAGAGAAGGAAAAGAGGAGAAAAAGAGGGAAAACTTCTAGAAAGTACAATATGAATCAACAGTCACTGAGATGTTACTTGAATGATTTATGTTGAGGGTACAAGAGAAAATAAAAGTGATCAGCCTTTTAACCAGTACTCGGTACACTCTCCTTCCAACCTTCTATAATGTAACTGGTTGTGATTGCCCCAGATTTGTTCCAACCTTTGAAGAGATTAAATTTATGGATTTGTGGCATCACGTGTCATCCCAGCCAATCCTGACCCATATTTCTCTCCATTTTGTCCATGCCACGGCAGTACAAAAAGGTGCTGTAACCTTAATTGCTTGCAAAGTATTTTGAAATCCTTAGATCAAAAAGCCCTGTGAAGTCCAAAGTATTAGCCTTCTGTGTGCCCAAGGAGTTGTGCAGAGCCTCACCTGGGTTCATCAGGGCAAGGAGAAATTGCAGTGTATGTTCTGAGGACCCAGGAACTTTGGGGTTTAAGGGTCTTCTTCGTGGAATGGCCCTAGATCAACTCCCAGCTTCCTAGTCTCTTAGCTGCTCAGGCATCTGACCATTCTTTGTGTTGCTTTGTGCTTTTTCCATTTCTTAAGTTCCTGGGTCACGAGGCCTGAATTGCACTTACTTTGGTGTCATAGGTCTCTTTCCTGAGTGATCTCAGCCTAAGTCCTAGAAAAGGGCAGATGTGTCACCTGTAATTTCTGTATGCCTTTTCGTTTAAGCCCAGAGTGATGACTTAATCCTCATTCTAACTTTTACCATTAGAACTTAGAGTTAAAATTCTGTCCCGTGGTGGTAACCCTTGGAGGAGGTGTCAGGTAGGGACTGAAACGGGTAGGAGGGGCTCCTGGGGTCCTGGCAGTGCTTTGTTTCCTTGCCCTGACTGTAGGTTAGGCCAGTGTGTTTGTTTCATGAAAATTCAGAGCCACACACTTCTACGTGCATTTTTCTATACATTTGTTACACTTACAATGCAAATATTTTTTTGTTAAATCACTCTGGATGCTAACTGACTTCATATAGAATAAATTTTGATGTGATAGTGAGGCTATACACCTAATCAAATCAAAATCCTTTCTCTTTCTCTGCCTTTGTAATTCAAAATAATGTTGCTTTCAGTTTTCCTTCCTTTAGTTCCATTTTCACACTTACAGGAAAAAAGGGAAAAAAGGAAGAACCTCGATTAGCCATTTTAATTAAGTCTAATGGGGGAGGTAAGGGGGGAGGTTGGTTCTCATCAGAAGTCCTGTGATGCCTCCAGGGATGTATGTGGACCTCTGAAATTACAACAAAATTCTGTTGGATACACATGTACATTTTTCTGAGAAGTGTCCACGATTTTCATCAAATTCTCAAGGGTCCCTGAACTAAAAAGGACCATAAGTCAGAGGGACTCTTACAACTCAAGACTTTTTTATGTATGCTCCTCTGAAATGTTTCTCGACTCTAAATTCAACCCACAGCCCTCACCAACCTGATTCACCAAATTGGTTTCACCCATCAAAATGAATTTGCTCACTTCAATGGAAAAAGTGAATGGGCTCAGCTGTCAAAGGTCATACATAATAATCATCATCTGTTTACTTCTCCATCTCCTCCTCGAGATCCCAGGCCCTGATGCCAGAGACCTTTGCAGCCTCAGTGTGAAAGTGCACCAGGCAATGGCGGATTGGACTCCAAAGAAAGTCACTGCACCCATTTACGAAACCAGATTTATTAAAATTTCTCTACAAGTCAGAACAGCCGTCTCACATATATACTACATGTACAGGAAGGATCTAGTGTTTCGAAGCCCCAGCCAGCCCAGAGTCCTTAGCCGGGTCATGTATCACAGATACAACATTCAAGCAACCACAAGAGCGTTAGTGGGACAGAGGCTTCTGTCCTCCCTCTTCTCCAAGTCCCATGATTCTGTCAAGGTAAATATTGCCAATGATCATTCACATTTCACGTGGTCTTAGACACGCAGGTTATTCAGACAGACACAGACAACAGAATAAGCGTCAGAGCCAAAACAACAACAAAAATTCGGACATATGTATAAAAGGTACACTATATGTACAAAGTACACAGTACGTGAGGTATACACGGTATTCTCACAACGCATGTTAGTAGTTTGCCTAGGCGTAGCCCTTAAAAGTGACTGCCTGTTTTTGTGCCATTTCTCAAAATACAGTATGTTTGGTTTACCCGTTTAATCACCTGATTTCAGTACTGTCTGAGACATTCACTGATATTTCATCTGTACTTGTTTTTTTAATGCAAGTTGCAGTTTCTTTGTTAAGCTCTATCTTTTGTAGGTAGTGAGTTCCCAACTCTGGAAGCATTCAAAAAGAGGTTGCAGACCCACCTGTGAAAGAAGCTGTGTGTCGGGGGGCGGATTTCTGCATTGGGAGGTTGGCAGAGAAACGAAAGAAGTTGGACCAGATGACTTTTAACGTCAAGTTTAAAGATTTGCGGCTTGCTATTTCATCCCAGATACTGATGATACTGATGTATTCATAAACCACACCACATCTGAAATATTAACAACCTGTCATGCAAAACTGCAGACCATACCCATGGGGGTGGTTAAAGTATAATTCTGGAAGTTAGTCTGAGAACCGTCTAAGACTATCCAAAATTCACTTTCTCTGAAGCACAAAGATGTTTAACATTTGCTCTTGGGAGAGGGAGTGGAGAGCCTTCTTATCTTTCTCCTCCTAGACAAAATGTTCCACCCTGAGATGGTCTTGGGGAAAAAAGTAAAGGATAAATGCTAACATATTTGAGGGGAACCAAGAAAGCTAATGGTTTCCAAGTGCTCAAATTCTTGTTAAAAGTCTCCAGTCTCTCTGTCTGAGCTCAGAGTTCTAAAATAGCCAGGAGTTTGAATCTTTTATGATACTTTTCCACAGTTAGCTGGTAAGTGCTTTTATAGTGAAGGGGTGGGAGGGCGCATTTCAAGGTCAGAAAGAAGGCATTAGTGCAAATGAGGTCTTGGCAGGAAATGGAGGAGAAATTCTGGGTTCGCGGTTCAGGCAGGCTCCTATGCCCCTGAAACAGTCTGCTCCAAAAAGATGAAGAAAGGGTGAGTGTTAAACCAAACCAGAAAAAACAACTTTCCGATCAGAGAAGCTAGGGTAGCAAAAGTCTGGCTACCACAGACAAGTTCGAAGATGGCAGGTTTATTGGCCCAAATTATTTGTCACCCTGTTAAAAATATGGTTATTGCCCAAAATGCCATTGTGCGATTCATTTCCTCTCCCTTTAGAATGTTCATTTCACTTGATCACATGCTGTAGGATACCATACTCCTTGCCACCTGTAAAAGATGCAGAACCCCCAAATCTGACAAAAGGACAGCTGGCGAAGGTTCATTAAGGGAAACAACTCTGCAGGAAAGGCCTGTCCATCTTTAGAAATGGAAATGCCATGTGTGAGAATTATGAGGTTTCTGAGGTTTGGGGATTAGCAGAAGAAGGAACTGATGTCACTGTCCTCCTGGTACTCTGGAACAATCTGGTCGGAAGTTCCTACTTCTGAGTCGACATACCCAGGCTCCAAGACAGACTCGAACCAGGGATGGAGTAAGATCTCTGGAGCAGTGAGTCTTTCTGAAGGCTCCCGTCTCAGGAGGCTGCGAATGAGGCACCTGGCTTTGGGGGAAATGTGGTCAGGAATGCAGAACTGTCCACGTCGGATTTTGGAGAAAAGGGCACTGGGGTCTGAGTCATGGAAGGGGTAGCGTCCCACCAAAAGGGTGTAGAGCATCACCCCGAGGCTCCAAACGTCCGCCGCCTTTCCGGAGTAGGTCCCTGTGGTGTTGAGAATCTCGGGGCTCACGTAGGCTGGGCAGCCGTGTTTGTCTGACAAAGCATCATCTTCTCCCTTAATTATGTGTGTATCTTCTAGACTTTCCAGTCTGAGCTGGGTTCTGTAGGAGAGAGGAAACAAGCCATTACTTCCAGATCAGCTACTATGAAAACCAAGGCCTTCCCAATAATAGCGCCCACAAGTACTCATCGCAAAGGCCCAAGGAATGCCAGTTACCCCTTCATCCAGTTAGCAGTGCCTTGCATCACCCAGGAGGACTCAGGATTTCACAAACCAATACAAACTGCAATAAACATTAGCAAAGTATTGAGAGAGAGCCTGGGGTGGAGGGTATGATGCAAAGCCCCAAATACTATTCATTATGCTACAGCTTATAAGACATATCCTAATAGGGGTTACACAATTTACAAAGTTCACATTGCAGCAGTGGGAGCCTGTCTCAGGGGAATGCTGACATTTCTCCAAAAGCTATCAGGGAGGAGCAGTTTATCCTACTGCTTCAGGGAGAGCCTGGGCATCCTACAAGCCGATCTTATCTCTTATCATGCCACTGACTGCCAGGGCTACTTGGACCCGTTGCTTGGCATTACAGAACATTACAGAACACGGAGCCCAAGGTCACTGTTACTGCACACAGGTTGTTAGCACTCCTGTTCACATCGATATATACACACAGAGGGAATTCTGTCCACCTGAGCCCAAGCCATGACGGCCATGACGGGAAATGTACAAGGAATGTTAATTTATTGGGATGTTTAATTGCAAAGACTGCTTAGCCTGGACAGAAAGGACAAAGAAAAGCAGCTGGTGGATTTGAAAGACGCAGGAGCCCTAAAACGCCCTCGTATGTGTGCACATGCACATACAAACACACACACACACACACACGCACACACACATCCTAGGATGGCACATCAACACCTGAGCTCATTCACTCAGGTAAGGGTTTATCTCTTCAGGTAACAACTAAGGTTTGAAACATCTTTAGTTAAGGCTCTCTGATGAAGCTGCAGGTGCCTCCTTGTTCAGATCCAGCCACTCAAGCCTCTTGGCTCCCCCAAAGCCCAGAGCCATGTGGGGAGTCTCCAATACATGGTGGTCACTTATGCTCCCCCCAGCTTCTCCGAAACAGCCCTGTGTCAGTAAGTCACTCGTTGCGAAGTTAGACGCAAACATTTGGTACAGGCTACTGAGTCAATTCCTTTTCCTCTCAAAGGTCTAGTTCTTTTTTGTTTTTTTTTTTTCTTCTTCTTCCTGCCTTCCTGTTCCCTGGAGTGTAGTATATACATGTGCTAACTTCAGTATGTCCTCAGCCTGACCTCCCCCCACCCCGTCCCCCCCTCCCGTCGTTATGTAAAATACCCATTGGTTCTGTAAACGGAAAATATGACTCAACCCACACTGTCTGCCACTGATTGGCTGCTGTAGTACTAAAACCCTGCACCTGTGCTGGTTACACGAATAGCGTCAGCCTGTCATTGCTTAACCCTCGGGTTGCCAAACTCCACGCACATGACATTCGCCTGTGCAATAGCAAATTTCAACAGTAAGCAAGGAGGTGTGTAAGGTGTGTTTCAGAAAATACATCACCATATCAAGGAGAGTGTTCCAGGAATTGGAAACCTCTTCATTACCAACACTTTGCTTTTCTTTGCTAATCAGTATGATCCAATGACTCTTGCAAGGTCAGACACAAAGCCATGCTTTCTGGCAACTCAACCCTATACTTTTTCATAGGACCTGAAGTCAAGGGTAAAAAAAGCACAGGTGGGGTGAGCCCTGCATGAATACCTACAACAAAGTAACACACACCCACCTGTGCAATTCTACAATGGTATTGCTTTTAATTTTTCCACAAGGGATGTGGCCCACCTCTTAAAATCAGGTAAGGTTTATCTCCTGTGGCTTCCTGAATTCTCAACTGAAACCTCAACTCTGAATCTTAATGTCACATTATTGTCTTATCGAGCTCATCTTGTTCTTTATGAGGTAAGCCATGATCTATATTTAGCAACCAATTCTAGCCAGCTTCCATTTCTCATTCAACTGTGGCTATCTTCTGAAGATGTAGCCAAACAAGACATCTAAAAAGTCACGGGAGAATGGGGAGAAAATATTGGGGGCCAAGCCTGACTCATAATAAGAGTGTGGTGTGAAGGAAAGGGATAGGTTTCTGCAACTACGACAGTCTGACCAGCTCTGTGATACTTACTAGGTACAATAAATAAATAAATAAACAGGGGGGAAAAAAACAAGGAAAAAAACCCCACTCAGTATAAACAAGGATTTGAAGACATCCTCTAGGAATGGGTGTTGTGAAGGGCAGACTGACATTTGTACCCCACGAGAACTGACCTTTCTGACAACGATGGGGAATAAACCTGATCCTGGGGTGGAAGCAGGGAGGGCATCCTGTCCTCACGTGACATCCCACAGATGCACCAAGGTGTCCCCAGGCCACGTCCACAAGGGTGCAGAATAACCAACTTTGGCTTTGGCCCCTCTGGAGAGAGGGTTTCTAAAGACTAAATCTGGGACAACTGAGCCCTTGGTGTTGTTTTGAACCAACACCCTGCACCTAACTGCTCGACCTGCACCGTCATTTTGGAGTCAAAAGGCACAGGAGAGGCTGTGGAGGCCGCTCACCTCTCCTCCGTGGAGAAGACAAACTTCCTAAGCTTTAGGTCCCCCAGCACGATGGCTGACTGGTGGCAGTGGGCAACGGCAGAGACGATCTGCTTGAAGAGCCGGGCAGCCTCCTCTTCCCGCAGCCTCTTCCGGCTACGCACGTAGGAGTGCATGTCCCCAAAGTCCCTCTCAAAGAAGACATAGGCTTTGGTTTCCCCAAGGATCACTTCCACAATGCCAGTGATGTTCCTGTGTGAGGGCAGCTGGATGTAAGGCCGGATTCTGTCCTGGTAGTGTTTAATGGGAAACACCTGCAGAAAGAAGGGGACTCACTTAGGAGGCTAGAAAAGCAGAGGCTGCCTCCCAGATCCTGGGCTGGGCTGCAGTTCTCAATCTCTGGGCTTTGGTTGAAAGTGAGGCTCCATTCATTTACCCCAACCTCCTGCAACCCCTGTTAGCTCTGCAACCCCACCTGATGCAGCCTGGGCTACTCCTAACACCCAAAAGCAGTAGCATCTAGGGCTAGCAAATCTCCAAAGAGCTACCATATGGATGGTTTGAAAGAAGTCTTCTAGGTATGGCCTTCCGGCTTCAGAGAGCTAAGCTCCTAAGTCCCCACCCTCTGCGGCCCTTTCTCACTGGCAGGTAATGCTGTGCAAAGTGGCTGGTAGAGATCCCCCTGGGATCTCCAGGAGCAGCCCCTGGAAATGCATGACCTCCTGCAGACCAGAGAGAGCACAGGACATGGTGACTCTGCAGCCTCCAAGTGGAAGAACATGCAGCTGGAGAACGTACAGCTCTGTCATTACTCAGAAGGAACAGATGACTCCAAGCGCCAAGACTGTCAACACAGCCCTAAGGAACCTGCCGAGGCTGTGACTCAGGTATAAGCAGCCTTGAGTTAAAATTCCCACAGGAGGGGATACGGGATCCTCTGGGGGGGGGGGGGCCGGTTCATTTGTTTACTTATCTCCCCCCGCCCCAACTCCCATCCCCACTTTCACTCGGGACATGGGTAGCATCTTCTCTAAGAAGCTGGCTGGTCTCTTTAAGGGCCTTTTGTTTAGTCCGGTTACTCATATCCTAGACTCAACTGGAAACGGTGACACACGGGCTGTCACCATCTGGATTCAGCTATTATCTGCTCGGAGGAACTGGAAGGGGTTGCACAATGACCAGACCCACCCCACCTCTGACGCTCGGTTGCTCCGGCACCAGCTCGAAAAACCTTTCCGCTGCCCCCCTCCTCCCACACCAGCCCACACTCATACCCTCTGAGCTCTGATCCCCAGCCACCACGGAGAAAAGATTTTGCCCCCCTCTAAACTGGGCTTGAACACACATGTGAAGTTTCGTTCGCGTCGGACAGTAGGTGGCAGCAGCGAGGCCAGGGAAGGGGAGCTCGGGGGGTCAGGTGAGTTGCGGAAAACCAAAGAGCGACTTAAACTGAGGGGTGACCCTATCTTTCCGGTGAAAACGAGCAGCCCGGAGGCTTCTCAGGGGTGTCTGAGGCCCGGGTGTCCAGCTCGCAAAGGGTGCATGGCCTGTGGGAATGTTCTGCGTCTATGGGCGCTAGAGGAGAGCGCGGAGGATCCTGTTTGCAAGAGTTGCATCCCCTCCAGGATGCAGCCCCTTATGTTCAAAGGAGAATCGCGGGCCGGAAAAGCAAGACATGAATGGAAGCGAGGGTTCCCAGTCGGTGTGGGCTTTCCAACATTTCTATTCCGGCCAAATACCCCCCGCCCTCGCTGGAAGACCCTCTCAGACTACTCTCTGGGGAGGACAGGGTTCCGGTTCCAGCGCGGGTTCCAGCCGGAATCCCCAAGACCGGAGCCCAACACGGACTCCCCGCCCCCTTACCACCCACGGCTGAGCCCGGGTGCCTCGCAGCCCCAGCAAGAGAGTTGCCAGCTCCAAGCTCCAAGGAGGCACCCACAGCAGGGCGTCCTTCCAGAACGAGGGGCGGGGGAAGCGAGGAGAATGGGAAAAGGGGAATGGCATGGCCCTGGAATCCATATCAATTCCACAACTTATGTGGAACGCCACGCACTAAACTCGGCGCTAAGCAAATAATATAGATGTTGTAAAGCAACTGAGCACCGCACTTCCTCTCGACCGCCAAGCCCCCACTATACCACGCCATCCGAACCCTTCAATCCCCAATAGGGTGACCCTGGTCAAATGCTGCCTTACCGGGCTCAAACCCCCTTATCCGCCTTGCCCCAAGCCCAAGCCCTGATGGCACCTTCGGCCCCCGGGCGACGGCGGGCGAGACCCCAAACACCTTTGCCTGCCACCGGGTCCCCTCACCCCGCGACCCCCCGCCGGGTCCCGGGTCCCGGCCCCCTGAGTGCCTACCTTGCAGCGCAGCTCGCGGCCGGTGTGGAGGCACAGCGCCCGGGACACATGCTCGCGCTCGGCCAGGGGCAGCAGCAGGTAGTCGGCGATGCGGCTGGGCCCCGGCGCGCTCCCGGGGCCGCCGCCAGCCCCCGGAGCGGCGGGCGGAGGCTGCGGGCTGCAGGGAGAGCCAGGGGGGCTGAGGTAGTCCGGGGGGCTAGAGCACTCGGAGAGACGTGGGCACTTGGCCGCCACGGCCGCCGCGTCGTCCGCGTCCAGCAGGCGTTTGGCCGGGACACCCCGGCCGACCGGCAGCAGCAAGGCCGGAGCGCGGGGCTGCGAGACGCCGCTCATAGCAGAGCGCACGGGACCGACCCGCATCCCGTCCCCGGCCGGGGCGGCTCCGGCTTTGTACGTCCTCGGATCGGCGCGGGAAGGCGCAACTGGGTCGGCGCCGGCGCCGCGACTTACTCCAGCCCGCGGGATGGAGGCTGCAGACGGAGCTTGGTTCTGCCCCCACGGGGGGCAAAGCCGGAGCCGCTCCCGGGCGCTCGCGGTACACGCGAGGACCACGGTGGCCGCGCGTCCGGGGCAAGGAGGCCGGTTCGGGTCCCCGGATCCCCGTGGGTACCGGCTCGGGGCGCCTCGCTATTGTTGTAGAGGCTGCCGACAGTCGGGGAAGCAGAGGCGGCGGCGGCCTCCGAGGTCCGGAGCAGCGAGAACAAGATTCCGCAGGCTCGGCGGAGCCACGGAGCAAATGCACTTCCCGAAGCCACGGAGCAAATGCACTTCCCGAAGCAAGAAGTGTCGGAGCGAAAGCCGGACCAACTTTTTCCGCGGCGCCCAGGATCCTACGCGCTCCGGGCTCCCGGCGTTGAGTGTGCGCGAGACAGAAGCGCTCGGAGACGGTAACTGAGTGTGAGTGACTGTGTGCGCCGCACCGATCCCGGCCACTGCACTCCTCCTTCTCCTTTTCCTCCACCTCCTCCGCCTCCCGGTGACTCACGCTGTATACACATACACTCACAGGCCGGGCTGTGTAAACAGTTGGGAAGCCGGGTTGTGCAATGAGGTGGCTGCGACGACTCGGGCCCTGCCGCCGGGCGAGCAGTCACCGGAGCGGAGGGGAGGTGCAGCTGGGCCGGCGGGGGCGACGGGGGTGGCCCGACGGCTGGGGATGCTTCGGGCAGAGCGCGCTCCGGCGCAGGTGGCGTGTCCTGCGCGCGCACACGCCCCCCGGGCCGGTCTAGGCGGGAGGAGGCGCGCGCCCTCCCGCAGGCCGCGGGCTCCGCGCTAGAAGCCGGAGGAGGGGGCGGAGGAAAAGTTCCCGTGACGTCAGGGTCCCGGGGAAGTGGGCGGGAGGGGAGGGGCCGTGGGGGGCGAAGCGACCGTTGATTGGTGCGCGCTCCCCATTCACTCCGAGCACAATGGACTGCGGGCGCGCGCACCAGGGCTCTCAGCGCCCGCCGCTCGCTGCAGCCGCGGGGGTGACACCTCTTGACCCGGGGATCCCCCCAGTGCCCCGCGCCTTGGGACCTCCGGTTGGAGCCGTGGGCGTCGCCGAGGCCCGGCGGTAGCCGGAGGAAGGGAGGAGAGAGAAGGTGATGAATTCCAGAATCACTCATTCACCCCCACGCGGTGGTTCCGGGGAAGACCTGCGCGTGGTAGTGGATGTGGCTTTTTTTTTCCTTTTCCCGCCCCCTCCCAGCTCTAATCCCCAGCGTCTGTTCGCTTCCACAAATAGAACCTTCTGTTGGATGAAATAAGAGCAAACACTGGGCCTTCTGCGCTGCCTCCACCTCCACGCCCCTCCCGCGCCTGCCGCCCGCCCGGATTGCACGGAAATAGCTCCTCCGGGCTCCCGGGCCGCCCCTTCGCGGTGACTCGCAGAAAGAGCTTCCTGAGCCGGGGCCGGTGGGAAACAAAGGATGTGGGGAGAGGGCGGAAGGGGCCCACGTGGCCGTCGCCGAATTCCTGCCCTCTCCCCAGCCTCCACACGCGCAGCAGGGTCTAGGACACCGGGGCCAGCCCAGTTCCGTGGTGGCCGGGGAGCGGAGTGTAAGTCGTCCTGGCCACCGACAGTGATGCTGCCTACACCCGGGCAACCCTGCCAGGGAGTGTGCATGCACTCGTGCAACGTGATTTGGGTGAGCTCGAGATGTGTGTCAGACCCTGCACAAAGCTCCGTGAAAAAACAACCTAGAATCTGTCGGTTTTCTTTCTTTCGAGAACCAGGTCCATTTGGAGTCCCTGGACACCCGACATAGATAACTGTTATCAGACAGTCCCTTCCGTACTTCTGCTAAGTGCTTCATTTTCTAAAACCAGGTCGAGCCCCAAGGATAAATCCTTTTCCATATCAAATCTCCATTCGTTCAACAAATACTAATGAAGCATCTGCTAAAGTAGACGCTAGGGATTCGAAGATGAAAACTAGTAATAATAGCTAACATTAATTGAGGTCTGTAACGTGCACTTTACACACACTGCAGTTTTACAGCCACCCAGTGGGGTTATTTTTTGCCCTTTTTCACACAGAGGAAGCCTGCAAAGTTAAGTTACTTGCTGTGGTCAAATAGCTACTGAATGCATTCAAGCTCTTAAGCATTTGTGGGAACTCAGGGAAGATTACAATTTGTACAGAGAAAAGAGAAGTCAGGGAGGATTCCCCCTAGAAGGCATTTGACCTGGGGGGCTGTATGGGATTGTAAACGAGTTGCTGGGGTGGGGTGGGGGGAGGGCAGGGATGTGGGGAAGGGTAGGGTCAGCTTAAAGAGGCCAGGGTGGCTGCAAGGCCAGAGCTGAGCCTGCACTGCACATGTCGTTGGGGGAAATGTGAAAAGCTCCAATGCCTGCTGAGAAGGCTGCACTTAATCCTGTAACCAGGCGAGAACCCACCAGAAGTTTTCCTTCTTTCAGGTTCATTTTGTGCTATTTATTTAAGATCCATTGAGCTGCCAGCTGAGCATCAGCACTTGGATGGCAAACTCAGCATGGGCCACCAGCATCTTCCTCCAAGGTGTGCACCTCCCTCACTGCCTCTTCTGAGAGAAAGGCATCACCACCACCCATCCCCAGGGCCAGAATTCCTGGCAGTCATTTCCCCTTGAATCCACCCTTTTCCTATCCCCCACTCAGTTGTCACTGGGTCCATCCTAGACCTGCTAGGTCTCACAGCCACCCCCTGCTGTCCCCTCATCAGCCTCATGGAGCTGCCCCTTGCAGACTATTTCTCATGCTCCCTTGCCCACTGGCTTACAGCCCATTTTGCCCAGAGGGAGGCCCTGGAGGGAGATGAGAGGGTGCTGCTTTGGGCACTGGCTGCACCTCCTCTGTGGCCCAGGCCCCGCTAGCCAGCCCCTCTGTGTAGCTGTTGCCATGTGCTGCCAGATCTCCCTATAGGAATGAAGGATTTATCCACCCACACCCACCCAAGCCTCCACCCCAGGACTGCTAGGAACGCCTTTTGGGAGTTTTGGAAACTGCCTCAGCTGAGAAGGGCTACCTTGCCCCAAGTTCATACTCCCTTCCCAGGAGGTCCACATCCAATGACAGGTGATTGTGGAGTCCAGCCTCCTCGCCCGAACTTGAGCCAACTCTGAAGGGCAACCCAGCTTCAGCCGCCCATTTAGGGTCAACTGAGTTCTTCCTTGAGATTGCCTCCAGCACAGCTCTTCTCTCCAGCCAGTCCTATTCCTTCCCTCCCCTTCCACAGGCACTCCCTGATAAACCTCCTGCATGCTAATCTCCATCTCCAGTCAGGCTTCCTGGGGGACCCGACCAAGGCACCGCCTCCCTCTTCCTGGCCCTAGCTTGCTCTAGGCACTCTGGCTCCTGGGATCAAGTGACACAACTTTCATCCCTCCTGCCCTAGGGTGGAAGCAGCTTCACGATGTTGATAACCTCTGGGCCCACCCTGCACACCGTGTTGTTTTCTTCTATGTTTGTTTCTGCTCTTCCAATACCTTCATAACTAGTTCCTCGCTTTAATTTTTTTCCACGGTACTTCCTGGCCTGGGTTCCATTTTCCTGACTGATCCAAACCCTGTACCTTTCCCATGTCAATCCACTCTTCTCTACTCTCATGATCTTAGTTCAGAAACTTCTGGTTTTCTGCAGTAAGCTGCTAACTGGATCACTCATTCACCCTTTCAACATACAAGGGCACCTACTCTGCCAGTGTACCTACTAGCTGCCGGAGATATAATGGTGCACAAAACAAAATGTATCCTTGAGCTCCTTAATCCATTCCCCACACTGCTATCAGAGCACTTTTTCTAAAATTTAAATTTGATCACATCAGGCCCTGGCCTAAAAACCTGGCAGGGACCCTCAGATGATAAAATCCAAACAGCCGCTTTCCTGGCCTTACTTCCCATTCCAGTCTCACCTTTCTTGTCTCCTCGCTAGCAACATACCCATGCCAGCTCCTGGTAGGGCCCTAAACAGATCTTACTAATTCACACCTCTGCATTTTTGCCTGTGCTCTTTCCTCCCACTGGAATTCCCTCCCCTCCCACTGCCAATCTGATGAACTCCTATTCATCCTTCAAAACCCCACACAGATTTCCCCTGCACAGCAATCAAATTTAAATGTCCTGCCAAGTGCTGTTGAGTCCTCCATCTAGCTTTTTCTCATGGCACTGTCCACTCAGCTGTGTTCCAGAGGGCAGAGGCCATGTCTTATTCAGCCGTGTGTCTCCAGTCCCCAGCCCAGTGTCTGTTATAAAGGAGGAGCTTAGTAAGTGACAACCAAACAAATATACTCAAGGGCAGAGGGTCACCCACAGGGAGGGCCTGAGATGAGAGACAGGGATGGAGAATAGGCATTTGGGCCAAGACAGGGGACTGGAGAATAGGGCACAGATTTCAGAGTTGAATGTCTAGCCCTGGAAGGCAACAGGATATGGAAAAAGAAAGGGCTGAAGCTTTGGGGGCCTCCAGCCTGCATGCCTGGGAGGACAGACATGTACTCTTGACAGGTCCTGAGATCAAGTCAGCCAAGGGGACAAGTGAGCTAAAATTTTCCTGACTTCATTGCTGGGGCTTTCCCTGCTGGCAAAGTCTGGACTGAACTTCCATCAGACTTTTCAGATACTTATTTGAGGAAGTCAGTTACTCTTTATAAGCCTCAGTTGCCTCACCTGTGAAATGGGCATAACAAAGGCTTGGTTTTCCTCCCCTGCAAAATTCTTTTGGAAAGAAATAGCTATAAACTATTTGTCCTTATGAGTTACCTACCCACACACAAATATGATTATCAAATATGGGCATGCCTTGATTTTGAACTCTGTTCATTTAGTCAACAAATATTCATTATCGGTTTACCATATGCTGGAGTTGGAAAAGGCCTTTACCATGAAAATTCAAATTGACAAATA